TGTAGAACGCACCGAGTCCGAAGTCGTCTGCCATAGTAGTTGTCATGATTCCCAGCATCAGACAGTGGACGAACTAGTCAAAGCGACAAGGATTGACTTCACTTGATGATGATGCCGGCGAAGCGTTTGAGAATGTATCAAGTCCACTATCTGATGCTGGTAATCATGACAATTGCTATAGCAGACAACTTCGGACTAGGTTCGTTCTACTAAGTCGCCCTGACAACAAGACCAAGTTGCGACAACGAGGTCAGCCCACTTTTATAAATCAAAAGGAGACTACGACCATACCAGAGGCCACACCATCTTGGTCTTCATATCTTCAATTAAATACACCATTTCTACAATATATGTGTAAATATATATGAAAAATACTAGATAAGTACTACTAAATATACTTACCAAACAAATATAGCAATAAAGGAGAAGTGGCTGACTTTTTATACCTGTTGAGCATATTTCCATTTCGAGTAGAAGTGTTTGGTGAAAAGATTCGAAGGTCGATTTCACCAGAAGAAGATGGCGGGTTTCTCTTGACCAGCTGTCGATTGGCTGTACTAGAATATTCATGCTGACGCTGTTTCCGAGGAAATCTCCTTCGATTCCAGTGAAAGGTTCTAAGCTTTCGTACGTCATATGACGAATATCATCAGAGCACGGTATCATCGTCAAAATAAAATTCAAGCTAACGAGTCAAGAAAACTATACCACTTTTTAGGAATTTGCCGATGAGTTTTCTTGACTGGTTAGCTTGAATTTGGTTGTGACAATGATACCTTGCTCTGACGATGTTCGTCATATGACGGGCAAGAGCTTAGCACTTTTCACCGGAATCGGAGGAGATGTTCCAGTAAAGTTAATCGACAGCTGGCCAAGAGAAATCCTCCGTCGTCTTCTGGTGGAATAGAACTTGGAATCGCTTCATCAAGCACTTTTACTCAAAATGGAAGTAGGCTCAACAATAATGAAACACGAGATTCCTAGAAACCCATGACTAACCTTAGGTTACAGTGAAGATGTGAATTTCA